GGGAGGGAGGGAGGGAGGGAGGAAGGGAGAAGGAGGAGGAGAACAGATCTTGACATCCAGTGTGATAGAAAGGGGATAAAAGGGATTACAAGGTCAGTCAGGCAGGGATGCCTGATGTTCCCCCGCCTTGAACGTGATCTACAGAGAAGCACTACACGATTTACTGAGGCGGGATGAAAGACTGCAGGGGCTGAGTATTGGGCCGGGAGAATGGGTGAAAACGTCTGCATTTGCGGATGACATGGGGGCCATTACCCCCCCTACGACTACGACGCAGCAGCTAGAAATATTAAAGGAGGACCTGGCGATCTGCTGTAAATATTCGGGGGCAAGAGTAAACTGGGGCAAGTCCAGAGCGGCTGTGCCCAAGGGCGTGCCCCCACCTGATGGCTGGGAAGTACCCACCTTGGGGGAGGAGGAGCGGCTGTGCTTCCTAGGGGTGAGTGGCACCCCACCCGGCGGTTTACCAGAATGGAGGCTTGGGGGGAGCACACTAGCTTGGGCGTGTTCAGGAAAGCATAGGTAGTCAACAACTCCATGCGCGCAAGGATGTCGTAGGTGGGCGCTATACGCATGGCATTGCGAAGCAGGCGGCTATTTGCCCAGCTGAGGAACGCGATCCAGACGTATCTATGGGCAGGGAAGGCGACGAAGGGGGACAGCATCAGCAGGTGGCATGGACGAAACTGATACAGCCAAGACAAGAGGGAGGCTTGGGAATTTTGGATCTGAGGCTGCAAATGATTGCATTGCAGCTAAGAAATCTGGTATGGATGCTGCTGCGGACAGAGTGCGAGCCATGGAGAATGACGACACAGCGCCGACTGGCCAATCACGCTGAGAATCGCGCCGGCGGTGGTTGACCTGTGCTTCACCAGTGCCAACATGATGGGCCACATACGGAGAAACGCAGTATGGTCCATCCCGCTGTCACTGTGGAGGGGCAAGATCCAGCGCCATTGCAGGTGGCCGGAGTCTGCAGATGCTTTCTTTAACCAGCTGCTATTTGACAATAGGTTTATATGTGATGTAGAGGGGGACCCGTACCCGTGGCAGGGCAGGGTGTGGGCATTTGGGCGACAGTGGGCGGAGCAGGGGGTCTACAAAAGAGGACACGTGTGGGATGCACAGAGGCGGGGGTGCTGGAGAATGGATGAAGAGATGGTGGGTGCCTGCCTACACAGTTATACAGGCTCCTGAGGCTGCATGAGTTGGGGGAAGCTATCCCGGACGAGCGGATAGAGCTGCTGAAGCAAAGTGACCTGCAGCAAGGGGAACGGGTTAGGCAAAAGGGGGAGACTCGCCCATGCACAGTGTACAGGATAGAGGGGCCACAGGAAGCAGGGAGATAGCGGGCTACAGAGTGGGCTGTAAGGACGGGCTACGAGGGCCTGGGCTGTCCTCTGGTGGGGATCGATTAGGAGGGACTGCCCTGCAAATTTTTGGTCAACCTATCCACGGTGGAGATGGTGTCGTTCTGCAAGAGGGGCAAATGGAGCGACTCGTCGGAGGTCTACCTCCCGTTCGGCCTCAGTGAGACCAGCAGACAGTTGGTGCTGGCACTGCTGGACCCCCGAAGAATGATTCCTCCCCCCGCCCCGAAATACAAGAAGAAGACCAGAAGACAGTTGGTGCTGAAAAAAAAAAAAAAAAAAAAAAAGAAGAAGAAGAAGAAGACCAGAATATAGGTGGTGCTGGACCCCCCGAAGAATGGTTCCGTCCCCCCCCAGAATTACAAGAAGAAGAGTATCCCGCTCCGGCACTTCACCGATCAATCCCCCCGAAGCAGGATGTGGCTGAAGAGCTCAAGGATAGATGGACGAAAAGAGAATGGATTCCGCCGCTGCACTGATCCCTAGATGGACGCACCGGAAAGGGCAAAAGTAATGCGCAATTTTGTAACCTCTCCGCGACCAGAAGCAGGCAGGGCTGCTATGGCGGATTTGCCACCTGGCGCCGCTGGCGGTCCCCACAGCGCAACGGTTGGCATCTAAGAGCCGGCATACAGGGGGCCTCTGTACCAGACCGCGATGCAGGCAGATAGAATCCATTTCTCATCTTTTCTTGCACTCCCCGTCGGTCACGGACTTCTGGAAATGGCGGATGACAGCTATAAAGTATAAAAGATTGCAAAAAAGCGAAATAAAAGTAACGACCAGGCATGAAGCTAACATAACTAACTTCGTACAGGTTCGCTCCCGAATCATTTTTTCTGTTTTTTTAACTTTTTTTGCTTTGCTTTTCCAAACGGGCTTCGGATGACACAGCAGCAAGGCGATCCTAAGAGTGTCGGTTCTTCAACAATAGCAATTTCCTTTTGTAGTCCGTACAGATATGGCTGAAAGTCTGAAGTAGGTGTACGATTACCAAATTGTGCCTTTGTACTTAGTAATCATTCAATTACCTTTTCTGAATTGAACATAGTTTTATTTTGTTTTTGTTTAGTGCCGCTACATGGTGGGTGCCACAGGATCTCTTCGATATCAAAGTCTTCAGAGAAGGACAGGAGCACAGAGGTTAGGCAGCGAAGTAGTATCATTGACTTAACTCAGTTAATAGATATGGGCACCTTTAAAAAATAATAAGAATAAAAATAAAATAAAATAAAACACAGGGACAAAAGAGTGAGGTGACAATTGCAGGGGCAGTGAAAGGGGATGGGGTAGGAGAGTCAGAGTCATAGAGATCGGTCTTGTTTTTTTCTTTGTGTTCCTTTTTTGTTTTTTTTTAGATTGGTCTTGGGTCACTGTTGCATACTTCAATGAGTATGGGCAGAACCAAAGATCAACCAATGTAGGATGAGCATATATGCAGCAGAAGTCTGATAAACGGACTGACTCACATAGACTGACTCACATAGCATCACTCCACACACATACAGTCGTGAGATGGTGGGGTCTGGGCCATTCATAGACGATGCCCAGATCCCRWACACGCATTCACAGATGAAGGGTGGGAGGAGAGACGAAGGAGGTGGGGAGGTAGACAACACCGATAGATAGAGTCTGATAGGTCTCCGATATGGTAGTCCAAATATTGCCATGCTGGATGCTAAACTTGTCAAAAATATTGCCATGCTGGATGCTACACTCTGTGTGTGTGTTGTCATATTCGCTATACACTCAAAGAAAGCATGACTTTGCCAGACTGTATCGTCGGACTTTCACCGACTCATCAGGTGTGTGTGTGTGTGTGTGTGTGTGTGTGTGTGTGTGTGTGTGTGAGAGAGAGAGAGAGAGAGAGAGAGAGAGAGAGAGAGAGAGAGAGAGCTTTCCATCAAGAGAGTGTGCGTACTCGCCATGCATCCCACCTATCAGAGTGGTAGAGAGAGAGAGAGAGAGAGAGAGAGAGAGAGAGAGAGAGAGAGAGAGAGAGAGAGAGAGAGAGAGCTTTCCATCAAGAGAGTGTGCGTACTCGCCATGCACCCCACCTATCAGAACGGTACACCACAGTCCGGCCATAACCCATCTAACGTTATTCATCGCCACCCTGCTCCCATCGCGGGATTAACCATGACCAGCTCCCATTTGCGAAGAACAGGAAAGAGACATATGTCCACAGAAAAGGGGCAATCCACACCATGACCCGATAATGGCATACCACCCCTTTGTGATGATTCTGCTTGCTATCCGAAGATGGCGCTCGAGTGTGTATCGTCGTATTCCGACCGCACTGGCTACTTATTTTCGCTCATGTCATAGTAGCATGGCAGGTTACAGGCCCGCTTATCCAGTATATTGCAAGGACAGCAGAGATGGTAGTTCCGGCCATGTCCCAATAATAACTTACTGCTTCATTTTCGGAGCGACTTGTTCTTATTGGGTGATGGTGGGGACTCCAGAATCCAGTGCACATCCATTATGGGAATATTGGAGGACGACATGCATCATAGTTTTTGCAGAGACAAGAGTACGACAAGAAGAAAGCAATATACACTCGGATTTTCAAAAGGTGGCAGGGTTGTCAACACCCGGCC